TGTTTCCCCCCACGCCGGCGGCCACAGGAGGGGCGGAGCCTTCGGCGAATTGGAGAGGACCGTTGGCGGAGGGGCGTGACCTCCGTGTAAGGAGGCGGGGCCTGCGAGGGAGCCGTCCGGGACACGAGGACCCGCCCGGAGGAAAAGAGCGGGCCTTTCAGGGACTGGCTAGGCGACGGGGCGGCGGAGACTGTGGCTAAGTCGTAGGCCACTCACGGACGAGGGCAGTGGGGTCTCCGAGGGCAGGGCCTGGCCCTGTGGGAGCGGAATACAGGCGCGGGCGAGGCCTGGGAGGAGCGGAAAGGCCTGAGAAGTGGTGAGACCGAGTCAGGACGAGGCGTTGGGGCCAAAGAGCAGGGCCGAGCAGGGCGGGGCCCAGAGGCGTGTGGCCAATGACTCTGAGGACGAGCGGCGGGCAGGCCGGAGCCGGGCAAACGCAGATCACGCGGAGGGCGAGGCCGCCGGCCCGCCGGGGTCGAGCCTGAGCTGCCGGGGTCTCCCGCGGCCCAGGGCGGACTGTAGGGTCCTTCCCTGTCCACTAGGGGGCAGACATTCACCGGACGGCGCCAGGCCCTGCCCAGGCAGCCGGGGAGTGAAGGGCGCAGGTCCGGGGGCAGCTCGCGGAGCAGAGCCCCCGGTGCGGGGCACAAGGGCGGGTACGGAGCCGTCAGGGTGCTGCTGCAGCTTATCGGTCAGCAGGCCTGCCCTGAGGGCTATCTGCCTCCGCAGACTTCACCTGCTCTCAGTGGCGCCCTGCAGGGGGGTTGTGTGCGCAGGGCGTTTCCGCCTTGCTCCCCAGCGCACACTCGGCCCTTGCTCTTGGGCGCCGAGGGCCTAGAGGGGTAGGCGCCACTCAGGACCGCAGAGCCTCCTGTGTAAAGAACCTGGGTGGGCAGGCTCCCTCTGCATGTGGCAGAGGACTGGGCGGGCCCAGGTGGCAGCGGAGGGCAGGGGAGGCAGGCAGGCCGGTAGGGATGTCCGCTCCTCCATACACCCTGAGCGGGCTGGTGGAAACCCCTGCACGCTGCCTTGCCTTTGGTTGCGATCCCTTGTGCCCGGCCTGCAGCTTCCCTTGCCCCATCATTACGACTTAGCATTGCTACCTACGTAAAAGCTCCCGCCTTCTCAGGCCAGCTGCATTTGCAAGCACCTTGCGGGTGCGGGATTGCATCAGTTCTAGAGTTGGGAGTAGAAATGGTGGTCCCCGTCACCAGGTTGGGCAGAAAGGCTGCAAGGGAGCATGTCCACTAAGCGTTTATAATAGGAAACCGGGGAAGCTGCCGTCCCTCCGGTGTGGTAGCCTGGCCGAGAGCGCACGGTGCCTCTCCCTGGGGGCACTGGAGGATGAACATGTAAGTAACTGGAATGCACGTGTGGAAATAAACGGGAGCCTAGGACACAGGGTGTACTGCACTTTCTGGCTTCTGTTTAAACGAAAAAGGGGGCGTGGTAGAACGCCATGCTCTGTGAGGCAGACCACATGGGAAGGGTCAGGGTTCCCATTTGTTTGTTTTTACAGCTTTCCAGCCATTCTGGGTGACTTTGGTAAGGGGGTGCTCTCAACCATCTGGGAAGGCCCACAGCCTGGCAGCCATCCAGTTTGGGGGTTCAGGTGGGCAAACGCAGGGAGGTGTAGGGCTTGTTGCCAGCACCAGGGGGCAGCACTTGCACACTGCCTGTTTCCGAGAAAAGCGCGCGCAGCCTCAGTACCCACAGGCCTCGGAGGCACTGTCCCAGCAGGTGTTTGGGACCCTCCCTCGGACACCTGGGGGGGAGGGGGCGTTATTTCTGGATGACTGGTGCAAATTTGGCCCGGTCATGCCCCAGGCACCACGAGGCTCATGCACCTTTGTCCTTTTGTTCGGTCCCCTGTGATTGTGGACACATTGTCCCAGAGTTGGGAACTCGCCCCTTTGGCTACACCTCCCCACTTCAGAAACCACCCCAGAGACAGTGCGTGGGTTGTTTATATCAAGTCCTTTTATTCTGGTACCACAGAATTACCTTGTCACAATACAGGGGGAGGGACACTGAAGTACCACGAGTTCTCACAGAGCACGGAGGACGGCACACGGTTCACAGGGTCATGTGGAGGACTCGGGTCATTGCACTTACAACTGTAAACGTGTGTGTTTGACTTTGTACAGAACTCCCCCTCAACAGAGAAGGAGAGAGGGGAGGGAGAGGGAGAGCGGGAGGGGAGCCAAAACAAGACGTGGAAGCTGAGGAGGAGGCGTTGGGTGGCCACCGCTCTCCAGGGCACTGCACTTGGAGAGGAGGAGCTGCTTTGACGCCAGAGGCTGAATGAGGCAGACACGCACACACACTCACACACATGTTCACGTGCACACACACACAATGTCTCACGACTTCCATGGCTGTCCAGTGCCACCCCAGTGCACATGGCAGCAGGGCTGCTGGCACCCAGGGAGACAGGGGATCTCCGAGGGGTTTAGGTTGATTAGGCCTGTCCCTCTGACCCTGTCGGAGTCCACGGTGACAAGTATTTACAGCATGGCAGGGTGGGAGCTGGGGGAGGGGCCGCTAGGGCAGGACTGCACTGTCATGGCAAAGGACCTGCCTGGAAAACTCCCCATAGGCTCCAGAACAGGCACGGCTGCTGCCCTTTCTCGTGGGCCCTGAGTCTGCGTGCTCTGCCCAAGGACTGAGAGGACGGTAGGGGAGGAGGCCGGTGCTGAGGTGAGGGCACCGGCCCTGAGGGGCAGAGGGGCGACGCCCTTATTCACGGTGCTGGGGAGGTGGTATGAGGAAGGGCTGGGCTGCACCCCAGAGACCCCACGCCCATCTGGAGATGTGCCTGCTGCTCTGCTTCCCAAGGCACCAAACACCAGCCCCTCTGCCTCTGGCCGCACAGCCCCGCAGTTACAGCTGCACCCACACCAGGGCCAGGACACCCATGGCCCAGAGCCTGCTCCAGCCACCTTCACAGAGGGGCGACGACGTGTCCTGTGGACACAGTGGTCGAGCGGGAGTGGCAGATGCCAGAAATCGCACAGGCAGAGGACTTGGCTGGAAAGGAGTTGGCTGAAATGTCAGTACTTTAGAGCCTGAGACTGGGCCTACTGGAGGCCGGCTTGCTGACCTCTCCCTGCCCCTCCCTGCTCTGGGGCTCATCCCTTGGCCTTCAGTGGAAAGAAGTCCTGCCTTGGTCTCCAGGTATCCAGCCACTAGGCACACCCCACTCAGCCCTGGCCCTGTGTGGCCGGAGTTCCGGATAGCGGCTTCTCTCAGCCCTTGCTCAGATGGCCTCACACAGCCCTCGGCCTCACCTCTCGGATGAGGCCGGTGTCCCGTGGATGATCGAGGCCAAATCCTAGGAGGCCCAGGGTCTTAGGTCCAACGTAGAGTTGGCAGCATCCTGTCCTGTCCACAGGTGCCAGTGGTGGGCCAGGATCCCTCTCTGGAAGGGTGTGTGTAAACCTTGTAGAGAAGCATGAGAAATGTGGACCCCTGAGAAATGCATGGTGCAAACCCGAGCACTCCGGAGACCAGGCCTCGGGCTGGGCGGCCACTGCCGGCCGCACTCCCGGCTCGGTGGGGAAGCTGATGAGCAGTGGGCTGCCTGGACTTCGGAGGTGGGGAGGCAGGGAGGTTAGGGCCCTGGGACAGTTGCAGAGAGGGCCACTCAGAACCTTCTGTAAGACTTGTTATTGAGTAACTTCCCAGGGACACCAGCCCAAAGCCACTGTGAACAGCTCCCTTTGGTCTGCTGTCACCACCTCTCCCTGAGCACTATTCAGCCCCCTGGCTCCAGCCCAGACCTCCTGGTTCACGGAGCTTGAGCCTCCCAGCCACCGAGGAGAGGATGGAGCAGGTGCAGTCAGAGTTGGGGGTCCCCGGGGCACAGCCAGACTCTGCCCTAGGTCTCTGGCTCTCTGGCCACAGATGCAGTCCTGCTGGGAAGGTGGCCAGATGCCCTGGCTCAGGGCCGGGGCAGGGGGAAA